GGGGGGGGGGTTTTTTGGGGGGGGTGGGGAAAAAAGGGGGGAAAAAACAAAAAAAAAAAAAAAAAAAAAAAAAGAGTAAGCAGTGCGTAAGACAGCAGGCATGCCATCGCAGTTGTCCGTTGCACCAAGTCACTGATCTAAGAAACACAACTCCTGACTGAAGTCTCCGTCTTTTTGTGTGTGTGTCATTTTTCCGTCTCCCTTCCCTTTCGCTTTGCTACTTTCTCTTCCTTCAGCGTCCCACAGATCTACGCTGCCCTTTAGAGTGCTTACTATTGACGTACAGTCGTGCATTAAAGGAACACAGGCTGAGCCTATTTGCAGGTAATGACAAAAGGGGGGGGGGGTGCCTGCGCTGTATTGTAACTTGTTTGACCTCTGATGGTGGGGTCAAGTTCATCCTAAAGGGACTGTAATTCTCTCCCCTCTCAGCTGAAACACATGACAGTGCCCCGGAGGGAGAGTGAACAGAGAGCGGGCCCGGATCTTCTTCCTCACAAATTTGACATTTTTTCTTAGCCCCTTTCTCCGCTCGCTCCCCTTCCTCTTCCTCGTCCCCCTCTCTTCCCACAGGGTTAATTGAAGGGGAAATTGATAGTTCTGTGCGGTAATTGTGGCCTTGAGAATTCTCTGTCTCCCACAGAGAGAGACGAGGGCCGCAGCAGCAGACACAGCGATGCGCTGCAAGAGAAAACCAGAGAGAAAAATATGAGCGAGAGAAGCAGATGGAAAGAAAAATTGAGAAACTCGAACGGAGTGCCCCCCCCCCCCTTCCCCCTTCTCCTGACGCCCCCGTCCCACCACTGCCTCCCAGCTGGGGGTTTGATTGGTTGATGAGGGCGCGGGGCTGGTTGGCTGATGAACTGAGATTTCTGCGCAACTTTTACAAGCCAGGCTCTGATAATCATTCAATTCATTATCCAATCAGCGAGACTTGCAGCACGACTCCCCCCTCACCCCCCTCACTCACTGATTCTCCCTTTGACCCTCCCAGCCCCTTCTCCTTCCAATCCTCCCATTGCTCCCCAAGGAGTCTGGGATGGACAGATGAGCGGAGTGCGCCATCTCAGTTCTGTTCTGCTCCGCTGCATGCTGAAGCAGAGAGAGACTTATAATCCACCAATGCCAACAGTGACTGGACGCTATGCCTCAAATGTTTCTCTCTCTCTCTCTCTCTCTCTTTCTTTCTCTCTCTCTCTCTGTCTCTCTCTCCTTCAGGAGGGGCTTCTCTTTCCCGGGGGCAGAGCTATGTAATTAGTCTCTTTCCAGAAATAGAAAACTAGTTTTTCTACAGACATTTTGTGATGTCACCAGACATGAGCTCGTGTGAGTTTCGTACTACGTGACAATCTTTGAGTAAAATTAGCGTGTGTGTGTGTTATTTATTTATTTGTTTTTTAAACATACAGCTAAGATCAAAATTATTTATACCCCTGGAAGATGTGGATTTTAAAATGATCTCAAGAAACATTAAAAACCATAATAAAACCAGGAGTGTTTTTTTTTTTTTGTTTGTTTGTTTTAAAATTGGTTTATATTTACAGTTTAATAGAAATGGTATGTTAAAAATATTTGTCATTACCTATTCCAACATTTAAAGTAAAAATCTTTGACATAATTGCTGACAAGCTATTTGTATTTGTTTCACTGGTATTTTATTTTTGATGATGAACTCTTTAAGGTTGTATGGCTTCCTTCCCATCATCCTAATCTTCAGCACCGTTTGTAGATTTTCTAATAGACTCCAGTCAGGACTCAGGGCTTTACCAGTATTTCTTAATATTAAAACAAAGAAGCAGAAATTATTCCAACACCTTTTAACAATAATATTTTTTGTCTAATATTGTTTATGTTATTTATTAGAGTTTGACAATCAAATGATAGCAATATATATATATATATATATATATATATATATATATATATATATATATATATATATATATATATACCACAATATTTGTTTTTTTTTCTCTATGGACAATATACTAAAACAATAAAAATCCAATGGTAGTAAGAATTGCTCCGTGTTTGATCACACAAAGTTTGGTTGACAACACAGTATCTTTTTGTGCATCTATAGCTTTTTTATTCGTTTTAAGTTGTTTTTGGCTCTAGTGACCTTTATCTGACTGTGATCTGTGATAGGCAAGCAGGCTGTGAGGGAGGGACAAGGCATGTGGCAAAGGTCACCAGGCCGGAACTCGAACGTGTGTTGATTGCGTCAAGGACTCGGGCCTCCATACATGAGTCGCGCACCGTAACCCGGCGCCATCGCCACACCCAGCTGCAGCTTCCTCAGCTAACAGGTTGGAAATGACTGAAGAAAATGTAGTGTCCCAAAGGAAGAGAAGATGTAGGACATCGTTGACAAGAAGGACCCAAATAGCTCAGTTGTGCTGAGGTATTTAGGCTATTTAAAGTCGGACCAAAACCAAAGTGTGTACTGAAAATTGTGTCGGGCGCATGCTCCGACCAATTTGGGGAATACCACTGATCTGTTTTACCACCCAAACCTGTGGCACCTGCTGGAGCAGCGCGCATAATGTAAAACGTTATGGTCCTAGATGAGAGCGAGTGCTATGTGCAACAAAAAGAAAAATGCCTGTACAGTGTTACTATCCGACAGATTGTGCTCCCATAATTGGAATTTTTTTTTTTTTTTTTTTTTAGAAATGAAAATGTTTATCTCAGTTTTTAACATTTTTGTCTTTCAAAGTTGGTGAAGTTTGCACTGAGGATAAGAAAATATTTCCTTTTTCAGATCAAGATTATATTATTACAGTATATTGTCCCCCCCCCCCATTTCCTTGGTTTTGCTTATTTTGTCTTTTTATATTTCCTATTGTTTATTCTTAAGAATAGCAATTTTAAATTAATATAATTAATCAAAGGAGAGATTTTGAGAACTTACATTTTAATGCCTTCATTTATTTGACATCAACAAAAGAATATGTCAGTTTTTGTTCTGTTGTCCTGCAACGCTCAAAGGTTTTATCTTGAAATACGCCTCTTTTATTTATCCAAAGTGGTTGTGTGATGTTCAATAACATATTGAACAATCAAAAATAGATCTTTGAAATTTAAAAAAAACAACCAATTGATCTCTTCTGATCTCACTGAATAATACCAGAGAACGTTAAATATTGGTAAAAATAAGGAAGGATTTATATCATAAGCTATATCGATATCAATAGATTTTTTTTATTGTGATAGTTTTTTTTTCATATCTACTAGCTTTATTATCTGTATGTTAATAGTTTTATGAAAAAGTTTGTGAAAATTTTGTATAAACACCTGCTAAATGTAGTATTTATCTTTAAGGAAACCCTCTTATTGAGAGTTTTACATCTTTTAGCTCTCAGCTCTTTATAGAGTAAAACATTTATAGCAATTTCTTGTTAATTGTAATATTGTAGTAGCTGCCTTTCTTTCCTCCAGTTGCACAGCAGCAAGTGAAACAGAGGCAGCATTTCATTACTCTATGCTCCATAAAACTCTGGTCACTTTGCTTTTATATAATTGGAAAGATTTCCTATTATGATATAAAATGTTTCCAGTTTGAAACCACGGCTTTTGTTATTTACACATCGGTGAATAAATCTTGATATGATTTTATAGCTTAAGAAAATCCAACATTTCTTCCAGGGGTGTAACTTTTTTTTTTTTTTTTTTTTTTTGCCACCTTTTTGGTTCTGAAAGTTTCGCAAAACGCTCAAATGGACAAATAAATTATGAAAAAGAGAACATGTTTACACAGACGTTCAGTTCCTGCAGAAACGGCAGGTCTTGTTTTAGCTCCAGGCTCGTTTTTATTTAGTCTCAACTCAGGCCGCCCCAAGGCTGTCACCCAGGCAACGTTGCAAGTGGGCGCTTGTGTTTTTCTTCCTATTATTTAGTTTTCTTACTAAAATTTGCCGGTGTATTCAGTCGTCTCTTTGACTTTATCTTTGCCATTGATTCGTTTTTTTCCCCCCTCTCTCTCTTTCTCTCTCTTTCTCCACTCTCTGGTGTTGCTCTCCTTTCCTCTCCTCTCTCCCTCCTCCCCTCCTCGTGTGCTTTCAACGTACGTTAATGAGAATGTGTTAACGAGAAAGAAAGATCTATTGGGTGTAGCACAATATATCAGAAAGGCAGAGGTTTGGACGGAAAAAAAAAGAATTAAAAAAAAAAGACAGCAGGCCCCTTCAAAGAAGTCCTATTCTTGTGGTCGTGAATGTTTGATGAGACAGTGAAAAGTTGCCCCTCTAACGTCATGGTGTCTGAACAGAAAAGAACAGGACCGTTCTAATCATGGCGCGCTGGGAAAAAAAAAAAAAAAAAGACTTCCCACCCGATTTAATTAACTGATAAGAAACAGCTTCAAATTAATTTTTCAAGGATGTTAGATTTTGATTAAGAAACTCCTAAAAGAAATAGACGAATAATCAATTTTTTTAATCAACTTACCCAAATGGTAACTAGTTAATATGATAATTCCAGCAATTAGGGCAAATACTGTCAAGCAGCAGTTTCTATGCATCCCGTTAAAGGAATTATAATATCTTTACATCTAATTATCATGGTGATTTAATTTTTTTTGTATAGCTACCTCTCAATTTTACCATTTCCCCCCTTCTGTCATCATAGAGATAATGAAATGAGCAGTTCCAGACTGTAAGATGACGAGATTTGTGTAGGAAGTAACCTGAATCTGACTTCTATTTTTTTTTCACATGCTACATTTGAATTGATATTTAGGGGGGGAAAAAAAGCTTTTTTTTTTTTTTTACCATTTCATTTGGCTTCACGTGGAACGGTTGGCTAAGATCTTTAGATTGCAGCAGATTAAAGAGCCAAAATTGTTCCTGGTCTCTGTGTGTGTCTTTTTGATGAGCAGCTAGCGCCGATTCTAAATATTCTCACCACTCCTAATCCAAAAATCACCTGTTCCGTTCTCTGAGAGGAGGAGGCAGGAAAAAAAAAACAAAAAAAAAAAAAAACAGATTTATCCCTGAATGAAAGTAAGATCCAGTTACTCACATGCACATGAGTGTGTGTGTTTGCTTCTTTAATTGGACATGGATTGCAGCGGAGGTGAGGAAGGGCCAGTTAAAGAGAGTGAGAGGTGGGTGGGCGGGGGGGGGAGACGGAGCTGCATGGAGATAGAGTTCTTACAGCCTGGACAAACGCTAACCATGCTCACATACTACCAGAACAGACACACACACCCACACACACACTCCACATCCAGTGGCTCTTTAGCATCTCATGAGATGAATATCCATCCCATCTCGCTGTATCCCCTGCTCCCTGTGTGCTGAACATCAGTGGAGTCTGGCCTTCAGAGGGAAATATTGACAAAGCATTTGGAGAGATGGAATGGTTCCTTTAATTATATGCTGCTCTTATGATGCATGGAGTTTCTTCTCTGGCTGCTTGCACGCACGCGCGCACGCACACAAGCCTCGCTGATCAGCTGAATAGGTATTCCTGGCACCAACCCCACACATATTCAATTAGCAAAACTCATTAGCAAAACTTGGCATTTGTTGTTGTTTTTTTTTTTTTTTCTCCCCGCCCCCCCCCCCCCCCCCCTACTCAGAATTAATGGTTTTGATATGCTAATTAGCGGGTAATTTAATTTCAAAAGGCCTCAATTAACAGCAGCGTTGTGGACACGAGGAAGTTAAGCAGCATAATCTAATTTGCATTAGTAACGAGCAGGGAGTAATTAGTCTCTAATTAGCCACTTCAGACAGCACTTGTGTTTACTTTCCTAATGAAGTGGAGGGGCTTGCTTTTTCATACAGCGACGCTTGCGTGGGTACATCCAAGCGTGTTTATGAGAGGGCATACGTGTGTGTGTGTGTGTGTGCGTGTTAACATTTGTGTATGTGGAGGTTCGGGGGAAAACGGGGGTGCCTGGCACCAGCACCAAAGTGGCATATGGCTTACAGTTTGGCTCCGGTTACATATGTTCACACAAACACACGCACAAAGTCACACTTGCAGACACACAAAGAGGTCATCTCCCACCGTCTTACGTGGTTGGACACATACGCCGCGCTGCGGTTTACACTCCATTGAAACATCTTCATGAGCTCACTTACACATGCCGCCAGGGATTGACTGTGTGTGTTTGAGGGGTTTTATCCTGATATTGTTTCCTCTGGCAGCAGGTTTTCTTTCTGCTGCAACAGCTCGCAATGTTCTTTTCTAATGCTTTTTGTGTGTGAGTTTTTTGTTGTTTGGTTTACACCCACTTGCAATATATATATATATATATATTTTTCTATATGGTCTGATATAATATTTTTTAGCAGAGAATGTAAACTGTTGTCAGTGTATCATATTCGCAACTTTATCAGCGTTAAATCCAGGGTTTGTTTGTCAGACGTATCTACAGTGGTGGCAAAAAAAAAAGATGTCTCCACATCCTTTTTTTTTTGTGGTGACTCATGGAGAGAATGGGATTTGAAGTTGAAAGTTCAGTGCCCTTTCTTGATAATTTGCTACCAATATGAATTTATTAGAAGAGAAGGTGTGTTTGAATACATTTCAACATTCATGTTGTCATTTGTTACATATCCATACGCCACATTTTGGCTCCAGGCCAATTCGTGTTCCCATTTTCGACCTTGCATTGCCATATCATGACTTCCTAATCCAATGTTTTACCTGCACCTATTATTAACTCATGTAAATGTGCCATCACTTATCAGTGTATTTTAGTGTTGTAACAAAGTCTGTTGATTATTTTGCCCTTAATTGTTTATTATTTGCTGAAAATGATGAATCCAATGAATTATAACCGATTAAGATCTCGGATCAATCCACAGCATCTCCAGGCAGCATCATTGTGCTGACAATAAATGATATTGTAAATATTTTTATAGGCATTATAAAATCACATTTTATTACATTAGACAGTGGGTAGATTACAGGGAATTAATATAAAACAAAATGGTTAGGAATTTGCCCCTGACCGGTACAAATTCACACATTCTCTGTGCAAAATATCTGCTACAAAATGGCAAAGAGAGAGGAGAAATTGTTATTTTTATTTTTTTGGCCTCTTTTACATAGCACTTTTCAATTTCCTTCCCCCATCCTCCTGTATGCAGTGGTATTGTGAAAAAAAAAAAAAAAAGTGCCACTAAAATTATATTATGGCTTTGGGTTTTGGTGCACCACCCTGAAAGTTACCAGCAGCCCCCAACTTACCACCCTTTTCAAAAGTTTCTGGAGGTGAAATTAAGGGCAGAACAAGAAACAACAAGTGCATCCCAAGAGTTTAAACTTTTCCATCCGTGCCTATTTCAAAAACAAGTCGAAAACAACAGGCTCTCTTCAGATTTTTTATTTTTTTTTTTTTTTTTAAGGGAGACGGGGTGGAAGGGTTTAAGAGGAGGAGGGACAAGCAGCTGCCCTATTAGTCCAAAATCTGTTGTTCAGAGGAGGTGGGGAGGAGGGTGGAGCAAAACCACAGAATTTCTACAAAAGAGTGCGCACACTTTTTTCCACCCTTTGTGCAAAGAAGGCTATGTTCTCATATTTTGCCACAAATTAAAGCATATTTAACCCCCGTCACCTTTTCAGTAGTAGATCTTGTCCTATTTTTACCCACAGTCCTAGACGTGTAGGCCAGGAGAGACCATAGGGATCCCATTAGGAGACAGCCTCTCTGATGGAAGGTGTTTTTCTGGCGTCCTTTCCTCGGCGTTCTCTGGGAGGTCACGAAGCTGGGTGAGTTCCTGCTGCGAACGAGCCGGGTCAGGGTGCAGGCCGACAGAAGTCGGCAGACTCACTGGGCGTGACATTACAAACACAAGAAGTCGTCGAGAAATATTCCTACCTCTCGAGCCCTTCCATACTTTGTCGCATTGCAGCTTCAAACTGCAACGGATTTCATTGGAGTTTTGTGGTAATGAAGTGACGCAAATTAGGAGAGTGTGGAGACGTGAAAGGATGAAGTAAAAATTGTTCAGCACCTTTTACTCTGACAGGTTAAATCCAGTGGAAACACTTGCCTTAAGAGTCCACCCGTGAAGGCCTCAGGGGTTTGTTAGAAAACATCAGTGAGCGAAAATTCATCAAGAAGACCAAGAAACAAAGCGGTCATGGGTAAAATAGTTGAGATGTTTATCACTCACGGAGCTCACCGCTGTCCACCGAAAGCGAGGAGCTACATAGATCCTCAGTTCAAGTTGGTGTGCTTGTCAGCACAAGTGCTTTTAGTCATCCACTCCACAAAAATGGCCTTAATAGTTGATAGTTTAAATAATGCCGTTAAAAGTCCTGTTGGCAGTTTGCCATGGTCAATTCAAAAGACATGGCAAACATGTGGAAGGAAGGTGCCCTGCTCAGATGAGACCTAAGTTCAACTTTCGTACACGACGCATGGCAGAAAACTCAATACTGCGACAGACTCTGACTTAATCATCCCCAGCAGCATCGTGCTACAGTGATGCTCTCCTGCACAACTGTAGGAAGGAAGTCTTCAAAATGTACGTTCACCGACGTTCTCCATTCAATATGACTGAGCTTGAGATATTTTGGAAAGAAAAAAATAAAATAAAATCACTTTCTACTTGTGCAAAAGTGTGAAAAGTCCAAAAGGTGTGAATACTTTAACGAAGCAGCGTAGTGAATATGTGCTTTAACTCGTGGAGGACTTGCATGATTTACACACGGCGAGGCCAAAAGCTGCCTTCGATAAATTTAATGAATGAAGACATTGTGGTGATTATGAGCCCATTCCCGCTGACGACCTCAGGCCAGCAGGTGCATACACACAGATCTATTGTCACAAACATCCACAGATGTGCACACACACATACACGCAAACACTTATAGATCCATAAATAGGCAACTGATTTACAAATGAGCTGACCCGTGTGCTGGCCTTGCTCTTAGATAGGCTCACACCCCCACCAGGATGCATAAATCACAATGGACATGCATATGCATGAGCATCTGAGGAGGTGGGATAAGTGTGTGTGTGTGTGTGTGTGTGTGTGCGTGTGTGTACGTGTGTGAGTGAAAACCAGCCCGCAGTGGCGTTCGTATCGATCACTGAGGCTTAGTTAAGTGCTTTTTATTTCACCGAGTTAGAGTCAAGGACCATGGACAGGCCTCTCTCCCGGCTGCTTTTGAATGGGAGCGAAAGCAAAGAAGGTGGGGGCAAAAGAAAAAAAAGAGGAGAAAGAACTATTTAACTGTTCTTTTTTTCCCCTTTTTTAGTGGCATCTAGGGAGCACACATCACATTAATGGAACAGAGATGACGTTTCACATCTTGTCTCTCTCTCTCTGTGGAAGAAGGGGTTTTGGCGTTGGACCTTTGCCTGATGTGTGTGAGCATGATGTGAGCTGCTTTAACCTCCCCTTGTTTTATAGACTTATACAAGGCTCTGGATCGGACTGCTGCTAAATTAATTTACACACCATTCAAACATGCGTGCCAAATCTTCTTTCCTTCTCCTTCCCTTTCTCTCTCTCTCTCTCCTTCTCTCTCTCTCTACACTTTCTCAGCAAAGACAGAGCAGAAATTACCTGGCGAGGTAAATAAATTACTTCCATCGATTGCTGTAGTTGTAGAGTGACTTTATCGCAGTTTGACTTGTCCAGATACAGATCACCGAGTGACAGCGTGTTTTTGTAACGCGCCGCTGTTGCTGCGTGCAAGTTTTGACGTGTGTGTGCGTGTGTGTGTAAAAATCAGGCATAAATCTAAGCGATGAATATCTCTGCATATTAAAAGTCATGGCTAAGGTGGTGGGTTGGCCACAAGCTGTGTCCAGTTGTGTATATCTAATTCAACCAAGCCCCCCCCCCACACACACACACATATTGAAAAGCAGATAAATTTCCTGAGAATTATTAGAGCAGGATCTTGCAACCCAACCTGTAGCCAGGTATATTATTTCTCTAATCACTAATTTCCAAAAAAAAAAAAAAAAAAAAAAAAAACTGGAGATAGATGGTATCCTAACATGGTTCAATTCTGTTATCTACCTTTGATAAGTTTTATCTTGATACATATTGTGCAATTTATTTAGCCATTCCTTAATACTCTAGATTTTCTTTTCTTTTTTTGTTGAAAGAGGTTAAAAGTTCAGGAAACAGTACCAGCTGTCTTTAGTGTGTGTGTGTGTGTGTGTGTGTCTGCGATGTAGGCCACATGCTGTTTTAATAGTTGCTGTGCTGATGTTGCTGCAGAGGCCAAGAAGCCACAGTCAAAAAGACACAAACTGGAAAAAAAGAGCAGGAGAAGGCCCCATCTGTTTGTACTAAACCGTGGAAGAACTGACCATTCAGGCAAATGAGCAACAAATGAATAAAGGATATTTTGACATCTCTGGCAGTAAGCCATTACAACTTTTCCTCATTTTTATTGAGCATGCATTGCTCAAAAAGCATTGACAGTTGGCAGTAATAGTTCAACATAGCAAAAAAGAAAAAAAACAACAACTCACTTTTATTCAAAGTTTTTCTGTTATAAATACAGATTGATGTGTCCAGTTTGAAGCAGTGGTTTTCAAAGCTGGGGTTGGGACCCAAATGGAGGGTGTCTAATCAAGGGTTTGTTTGGGACTTTGAAATTAGATTTAGAATTCAAACAAAATACTAATAATGAAAATGGTAAGGCATATTTACGCTGTAAAATAAAAAAAAGAAAAGTTTTAATACAGTTTTAAAAATGGGAAAAGTGTTTTTGTCATGTAAACTATATATTTTAGTTTATTATGACCACATGGCCAAAAAAAAAAAAAAAAAACGGTAACACTTTATTTGAAGGGGGGTGAATAAGACACATGACACTGTCATAAACATGACATAACACCTGTCATAAACATGAATAAGCCTTCATGAATATTTATGACTGTTGTCATAAAGCGTCATTCGGTAAATTATGACACTTTTAATACAAAGTTGACATTATTCAAAATGTCTTTGTTATGACAACTTGACATTAACCAAGAAATCATTCATTACTTATATAAATTTGTTATAAAAGTATTACTGATTGCACTTTAAAAATCAGGTAACTTTATGTTATTAAAGGTAAAGTTTAAACAGTAATTATTTCTTAGTTAATGTCAAGTTGTTATAACAAAGACATTTTGAATAATGTCAACTTAGTATTAAAAGTGTCATAATTTACCGAATGACACTTTATGACAACAGTCATAAATATTCATGAAGGCTTTTTCATGTTCATGACAGGAGTTTATGACAGTGTCATGTCAGTCTTATTCAACCCCCTTCAAATAAAGTGTTACCAAAAAAACTAATGTATGAATGATGATACTAAAAAGTGAATATAAGTCAATGGCTTAATAATTATCTTGTGTCCAAAAGTATTAAGTAGGGCCTCAAAATAAAGACATTCTGGATTTTCTGACAATTACTTATTAATTGAGGATGTAAAGCTTTAAATAATAAACTCTTCTCTACAATCGCTGTTGCACCTTGACATCTGCCATTTCCACGCTAGTTCTGTCTGTGATTATTGTGATACATGCTGCACTCTCGAGAAGTGA